TAGTAATGGTACTGATGGCATAATGTTTCTCAGAGGTCTAAATATTGTGTACCTGGAAACCATTTTCTAAAAATTACCTGTTATATACTGTATTAAACACCCAACTAAGCTATGATTTTTATCATTTAGAATTATTGCTTTTGTTATATTTATCTTTTACCTGACCACATGACTGAATGGTCTTATGTATGCTAATGTATATAATATAGCTAAGGAAAAATATCATTGTAGATAGTAATCATTTTGTCTTCTTTTTTCCATTTGTGCTATTTATTTCCCTCATGTGTTGCATAGAAGTACCAATTCAATGTTAAAAAAGTAAGATATAACATCCTGTGTTTACAGGAAAATTAAGAGTATTTGGACATTGAAAACATAAGCTTAAGTTAAGAAACCCCCTATTTTTAGGTTACAAAGTGTTCTGGTTTTTTTTAAAGTAGCTGTTAAGTTTCAAAAAAGCTTTTGGGACCATGCTGTTCATGCAGTTTTTTTTCCTTTATCTTGGTAATATGTTGAAATAGTCTACCATTTCGTGTTGTTTAACCAACTTGACAATCTTGTAAGTTCTATTAGCTCATCATACTTGGTTCTTTAATTATATATCTGGGTTTGACATACTATTATACTTAAGAACTGGGGATACATATTTATAAATGATATTGGTCTTTGTATTTCTTTGTTCTCTGCCTATGTATACTACTTATATCTGCTTCAGATTATGATAGACACAGAAACTCAGTTGGGAGTGTTTAGTATTTATCTTTTCAAGGTTCTGGAAGAGCATTATGGAACACAAATATTCTTTCTCCTTGTAGATTTGTTTGAATCACTCCAGCCTTCTGTATCTGAAACTTTTGATGGAGAAATTATGCATCTACACTAATAGAAACTATAGGGAAATAAGTTTAGCTGAGGACTGGTTAACTGAATTCAGGGAAATAGAACTATGCAACTAAAATTATAACACTATGAATAGTTGAAATGTAATTGGTTTCTTATTTTTAACTAGAGGCCCAGTGCATGATATTCGTGCATGGGGGTGTGCCTCTCTCAGCCAAGCCTGCACCCTCTCCAATCTGGGACCCCTCGAGGGATGCCTGACTGCCCGTTTAGGCACTATCCTGGTGTGATTGGGCCTAAACATGCAGTTGGACATCCCTCTCACAATCCAGGACTGCTGGCTCCCAACTGTTCGCCTGCCTGCCTGCCTGATTGCCCCTAACCTCTTTGCCTGCCAGCCTGGTCACCCCTAACCACGCCCCTGCCAGCCTGATCGATGCCTAACTGCTCCCCTGCTGGTCCGATTGCCCCTAACTCCCCCCCACCCCCCGCCAGCCTGGTCAACCCTAACTGCCCTTCTCTGCAGGCCTGGTCACCCCTAACTGTCCTCCCCTACAGGCCTGTTCCCCCCCAGCTGCCTCCCCTGCTGGCCTGGTTACCCCCCCCCCAATTGCTCTCCCCTGCAGGGCTGGTTCCCCCCAACTACCCTCTCCTGCAGGGCTGGTCGTCCACAACTGCCCTCCCCTGCTGACCATCTTGTGGTGGCCATCTTGTGTTCACATGGGGGTGGCCATCTTGTGTGTTGGAGTGATGGTCAATTTGCATATTGCCTCCTTATTAGATAGGATGTTAATGACCATCTCTCATGACCAGAATCTATAAGTATTGTTTATCTGTTCACTGAAACATTTCTAGCATTGTGACTAATGCCAATCCCATAGTAGACACTCAATAAATTTTTGTTCATTAAATAAATAATAACACAATAAAAATAACTTTGTTTTGGTTGTGAAAGAATGTATCTTTAGGGACATGTGAGAAAATTCTCAGTGGTATAATAATGTATCTATCAGAATATAAATATGTTAACATTCTTTACTAGGGGCAAAAAATATATTAGCACTTTTGTTTCTTAGAAAGGTATGTGAGTAATTATATTCTCTCTGTTCTGGTTGCTATCCCAACACCAGAGTACTTTCTTATTAGATTTACTTTTGGATTCCAAATGGAAGTAGGGAAGAAGAGTATATGGTAAAAGAGAGAAGTATCTTGATAACAACTATTCATATATTGTTTTCAAATAATGCACGTTATGAAGTTAAGATTTTCCTTCCTGTCAGTAGATAAATTTCCTAGGAACTCCATCAGAATATTCTCAAGAAGATAAAAATTGAATTTCTCCAAATAGAAGAAAAACACTCAGTTCCATAGTGGAACAAATCATCTGGTAAACTTCCTTAAAATCATTCTTTTTTTTTTTTTAATATATTTTTATTGATTTTTTACAGAGAAGAAGGGAGAGAGGTAGAGAGTTAGAAACATCGATGAGAGAGAAACATCGATTAGCTGCTTCCTGCACATCTCCTACTGGGGATGTGCCCGCAACCCAGGTACATGCCCTTGACCGGAATCGAACCTGGGACCTTTCAGTCTGCAGGCCGACGCTCTATCCACTGAGCCAAACCGGTTTCGGCCTTAAAATCATTCTTATTACTTTTAATATATTTGTGTGAATTAAAGATAAAACAACATTTAAAAATTCTATAGTTTGTAATAAAATGATAAATTTAAATTGTTTCAGGTCTTAACTTGTTGATCCCACAAATTGCCATACTTTCTCTTGCCTTTTTTACTTTACAGAATAAGTTTCTCCTTTTGGAATAGACAAATCTTGCTAATCCTCAATCATTTTTTCTTTCCTCTCTTAGTAGGTCCCTCTTGTTTCTAGCTTAACCTACTTTTTTTTAATATGCTTTTATTCATTTCAGAGAGGAAGAGAGAGGGAGAGAGAGATCAAAACATCAATGGTGTGAATCATCCACCGGCTGCCTCCTGCACGCCCCCTATTGGTGATGCAGGCTGCAACCAAAGCATGTGCCTTTGGGTGGAATTGAACACTATCCATTGAGCTAAATGGTCTAGAGTTTAACCTACTTTTTGAAGACCTTTCTACCCACTGCTTTTCTTTTTCCAGCTCTTTCAACCCTATTTTAATATTGACAATATTTATTGTAATTCTAGTTGTTTCCATCCCCCCCCCGTAAGATGTATAGACTCCATTGGGGCAGAAAATTCACTATTTATTGTTGACCTCATAAACCCAGAATAATTTTAATAAAAAGTGACAATTAATGTTTTTCAATAAATGCATTTTTAAAAAGCATGTTATTCCTGTGATCAACCTCGCCCAGTGGTCAGCAAACTGCGGCCCCTTGAGTGTGGCTCTTCCACAAAATATCACATGCGGGTGCACAGTACAGTGCGATTGAAATTTCATGGCCACAATCAAGGGGCCAAAGAGCCGCATGTGGCTTGCGAGCTGCAGTTTGACGACCACTGACTTAGCCTGGAAATAAAACTTCTTCAAGTGGGCCTCAAAATTTAGTACACAATGGTTGAATTCTTCTATTTTTTGTTGTGCTCTTTACTCAACTGCCAAATTTATACATATATAAATGGGGGAAGAAAAAGATATGCCACTAATGTGTGGACTTGGAGTAGAAGGGAAGATTTATGAAAAGAAGTATAAAAGAATCATCACTTTGCATATTATATTTACCTCTTTATTTCATAGCGAGGATGAATTTTATCAAAATACCCCTTCCAAATTTTAAAATTTATTTTCCTTAATTACAAAGTACTACATAAAGAAACCTGACAAGTTTCTGTTTATTGCTCTTTAAGCAACTTGAAGCTGATTGCTTTTTTTCCCCTCGCCCCCTGAAATCTTACTATTATCTATTGGCATAAAATCAAAAGGAAAAAACGAGATAGAGAAGTTTCTTATTAAGAAAGACATTGGAAGGGTGGCGCTGCAGTACCCATATTTCTCCTTGAGATTTGAGACTCAGAAACATAGGCTCATATACTGGTATATCACTGTCAACCCTAAACGAATTCATTGAGGTAGCCATTTTCTTTTCATGACTGACTTTCACAGAAGAGATGCAAGGAAATAAAGACTCAGGTATTAATGGAAAAAGCAAAACTGATTAAATCTAAGTAAATTTATAGAGATGTTTACTCATCCTCTAAAACCTTTCTGTTTTCTTTCTTTGTTTTGTTAAAATTCTCACCCAAGGTTAGTTTTTCCATTGATCTTTTAGAGAGTGGAAGAGAGAGGGAAAGACAGAGAGAAACATCAATGTGAGAGAAACACATCGATTGTTTGCCTCCTGCACACACCCTGACCAGGGCTTTGGTTGCCTCCTGCACAGGCCTTGACCAGAATCAAACCCAGGACCCTTTGGTTCAAGGCTGATGCTCTGTCCACTGAGCAAAACCAGCTAGAGCTAAAAACTTTCTTAACAAAGTGAGATTATTTTTGTAGGTCCTAGGAGAAGGTAGATTCTATGTACAGAAAAACAGAGTATGAAGAGCTAGGCTTCTGTTAAGTTTTTAACTACCTAGATATGTAAAAGCCTAAGTGACAAGCTGACCACTTGACTGTTCAACTGGTATAGCTATGATGCGCACTGACCACCAGGGTGCAGACGCTCAATGAAGGAGCTGCCCCCTGGTGGTCAGTGCACTCCCACAGCAAGAGCGCCTCTCAGCTGACTGATGGGAGCCAGACACCAGGCTCATGGCTGGGGAGCTCAGCTGCCGCAGTGGCAAGCCTCTCTCCCCTCCACAGCAGTGCTACTGAGCGGTGGCAGTGGCAGCAGGTGCAGCAGGCCAGATTGAGTGGGAGCAATGCAGTGCCTGGCCTGGGCTCAAGCTCCTCCCCGGCCGCCTGCTGCTTTGCACACTACTGCAATCAGGGGTCCCAGATTGCGAGAGAGTGCAGGCCAGGCTGAGGGACCCCAACAGTGCACAAATCCATGCACTGGGCCTCTAGTTGGCTTAATAAGTCTTCGTTTCTAAATAGTAGCTCCAAATTGTTTTTAATGGCATATGCTCAAAACTACCATAGGAAAATATTTTTTTAAAGTTATTATTGGATGGTGGAAATATGGGGTGGAGTTAGCCTTAGAAAAATGAGAGCAGCATTACTTTTTAAAGAACACACACTTGTCTCAAGTCAGTATTGCTCCACAAGACAGGGCTGACCAAGACGGAACAGAAAACAACATGAATGATGTGAAGCTTGCTGTCCTGGGTGGTGAAGGAACAGGCAAATCTGGTGAGTGGCGGTATTTCCTCGGGCATGGTGTAGAGTGCAGATAGAGTGAGAAATATATTGATGTATATATAAAACTTGATATAATGATATAACTACATATTGTGTTTTATTAGCAGTCTTCATTTTATAAGCAAGTTAGGCAATTCACTGTATATTTAAAGAATTTTTAGACAGTTTAGGAAAGATAACTGTTGAAACTATTAGTTTGTCTCTTGTTTTACTGATGTTTAAATTAATAGGAATATAGGAATAAAAGGAAACCCTCCATCTATCCCACTTACTTCTCACTCCAAGACGGCTATTCTCACACCCACCAGTGGCCAAATGAAGGCCATGAAAGGATTCTTCTGCCTTAGACTAGGGGTGAAACGACATTCCTTAAAACCTGTGGATCATTTCCTAAATGCCACATTACAGGGGGAAAAAAACAAACAAAGCAAAACAAACTCTGGTGGGGCATGGCTTTGTAGATGCCTAGGAAGTAAGCAACCTTTGCCCAGACTTGAGAAGCCATCTTTTTTTTTGTTTGTTTTGTTTTTACTAACATTATTGTAACGAGGATGCCAGCAATAGAGCTGCCTGAGCCTAAGGAATCATAATTGGCCAAACCCAGGCACTTTAATGAGATAAACCAACACTATGGGCCCTTTTTCTAGTTCCTGTATTTTGAAGTCTCTCTATCCTTAAGCAATTGCAATTGTTTGATATTGTCCTTGTCATTATGAGCATGTAGCACCTTAGAACCACATTTCATTTGATAAAGAAAACAAAGATATGTTATAATTCTTGCATCTCAGATATAATGAGAAATCCATTTCTGTTAGGAAAGGTAAATTGCCTTCTGTGTTTGCATTTGTGAATTAATTACACAGTTATTTGAGTGGAGAACATTCTAAGATCACTTTCTTTCTAGCCTCCTAACCTTGATAGTTGTACAGTGGAAATCTTGCTGACTATTATTTAGACCAGAATTCAGTAAAGTTTTATGATCTTCCTGATGCTTGGTCATTTTTGAGCTGAAAGATAAACCTCTATGTACATAACTAAATTATCTGTATCCTAAAATAGAAATGACCATCAATCCTGCTTTTTTGTTTTTCAGCCCTTACAGTGAGATTTCTAACCAAGCGATTTATTGGAGAATATGCTTCTAATTTTGGTAAGTCTCTACGTTAGCCTTTTTCACCCTAAAATGTCATATCATAATTAAATAATAATTAAGATCAGAAAATAATTTTAATGGAAACTTTAATTTTTATACTTTAAAGCAACTTATTTTTTTTCCCCAAAGATTCTGGTTAGAAATGCCAAAATAAGTACTTGAACTGATAAAATTCATTTAATTTCATGTTAACTGAGATGGATTAGAAAGTCACTTGGTTTCAGTTTAAAATAAGCAAAACATTAAAACTGAGATCCACCTCCCCTCAAAAAAAAACCATATTGTAGAGCAAGTGAGTATGAATATTTTTGTAAGCTATGAAACAGTTTTGAAATTAAATCAGCATCTGTTGAAAGAGAAGGGCAAATTAATTATAAAAGCACAAATAACTTCAAAGTAAGCTTTATTTTTATTGCAAACTGTGTGAAAATATCAGGAAAATTATGTCTTGATTAAAGATCACATCTAATTATCTAGGTTGCTTATGTAAGTTTCAGAGAAATTCTAAAACAGATGTCAGGGTAACATGATATAATTTTATTATTTTGATCAGGATTAACATGACATATGGGAAATATCATGGTGGAGAACTAATAAAATGGGAAATGTTGCCAGAGGTTTGAGTATAATTTTGGCTCAGCAATTAATCAACATAATTGTACTAATATCTTACCTGATTGACTGTATGGGGAAAATGTGTTGGCTTTTAATTTAAAAAGAATGACAGATTTATAAGGAGTGTGAAAATTGGGAAAAATAGAAAATAATTATTATGTTCAATAATACTTATTTAGAGTAAAAGGAAATTATGATAACAAGTGTGTTTTTCCATGAGAAATAAATATAAACAAAAATCTTTAGCATTCAATTATGAGATATCACTTTTAGAGTATTTTAGAGAATAACTTTAGAGAGTATTGCATTGTGTTGTTTTCTACATATACATTATAGTATTTCAGTACATATGGCACTGTGAGCATCTTAGGACAAGTGCTTGAAACTGGTTATAGAAAGAAGAAATATATAGAAACAGAAATTCTCATTGTTTTATTTCTCAGGTCAGCAATCTCAGTCAAAAAGGTCAACATAACAGATAAGCTAGCAGTCAGACATGAGAGAATGTTCCAGAACTACAAAGCCAAACGTAAATAAAACAACACCCCAAAACAATAGCCCCAATAATGAAAAATAAATACCACCTTAATCTTTTATAAGATAAAGTTTATAAACAAAGTATACACATTTCTGGTTGTAACATCACTACTAAGAATATGAGACGTAGAGACATTTTGAAAAGATCACTGAATGAGCAAAAGGTGACCACTGTATGAAAACAAACTAGCGAAAAAATGATTCCATCTTGTAAATAAAGACTAGAAGGAGAAATAATAAAATTCTAAAAAGTTAAGAGTTGATGACTCCTGCTGGCTGTTGTTGAGTTTTGAGGTGGACTTTAAAAAACAAAATGTCTAGAAGAAAATTTTATGGTTCACAGTAGTAAACTTAAGTGAAGTTTAGAAGGCATTGTCTGAAAACATATTTTAAGGTTTAATGAAACTATATTAATTTCATTAAATGTAACATAATGATTTTAAAACTCATTCATAACTTTCTGAGGTTGGCTCACCAAATTTCTGCTACAACTGCCTGCTGTGAGTTATAGAGAGTTTGCCAGAATGGGTCATGAGTTTGTGTCAGTATTCCATTTTGGAGAGAAGTGGGTATTTATTAAAACATTGGAGGAACAGTTACAGAAAAAAAAATCCTTCATTCATTCAAGAAATATTTATTACACACCTGCCATGTCCCAGGTACTCTTAGAGGTAAATAAGTTAGAGCAAAGGACAACAACAAAAATGAAACAAATATCCAAACTCTCCTAAGACTTATATTCTGGAGGGAAGGGTTAGTCAATTAAAAAACATTAAATATAAACTATGATGAAAACTATGAAGAAAAAGAAAGCATGGGGTAGTGGCCCTATATTGTATGTGATAATATCTAATAGGGTGATCAGGTCATACCCAACTGAGGAGATATTTGTAAAGAGACATCAAGGAGGTAAAATTGAACCATGAAGATACTTGGGGGATTACATTCCAGCAGAAGAAACAATTATCAAAGTTCTGAGGCAGGAACATTCTAGAAAATGTGAGGGACAGAATGCAGGATGGAGTAGCTAAAGTGGAGAGAATTTTAGAGCAAGAGCCAGGGAGGTCTATTGAGGTCATAGACGTAATAGGAGACTAAATAATCAGCTACATTCTCAGGCATTTTAAAGGTTTTGGTTTATCCAAGTGAGATGAAGAGCCATTGGAGCACTTTGATCAGACAAGTAACTTGATCTGGTTACAAGGTTCACTCACATTTGCTTCTGTGTTGAGAATAGATTAGGCACAAGAAAGGAGTAAGGTGAGGGATGAAGCAGAGGGGTAAGTTAGAAGGCTTGGTAATAATATAGGCAAACAATGATGGCTTTGACAGTGTGTTAGCAATGGTGGTGATGAGAGGCTGATAAATTCAAAATATACTTTGACTGTAGAGTGAAAAAGAAATTTTAACAGAATAAATATGAGTTGTGAGAGAAAGAAAGAATCAAGGATGATATTAAAGCTCTTAATCTGAGAAACTAAAGTTAAGGACATGCCATTTAATGAAATGAAAAATTGTGGAAGATGCAGTCTTAGCAGGGAGATGTCCATTGTGTATCTAAGTGAAGATGTCCAATTGTAGTAGTTGTTCCTATCTAGAGTCCAGGAAAGAGGTCTTTGCTACAGGTATAAATTGGATTCATTAGCAATAATTGTTACATAATGTCTGACCGGATGCAATTATCAAGGGAGTGAGAATAGGTAGAGAGGAGATCCATAAACTGGATTCATGTTTGGAGTGTGGGAAGGCATGTATGGCAGGTCAAATGAAACAAAAAGAGTAATTTGGAGCAATAGGGAACAATGCAAAAACCAAAAGAGTGTGTTGCCTTGAAAGACATGTTAAGGAAGCCTTTTAAGAAGGCAAAAGTGATTAACTACTTATGCTACCGATAGAACAAGTAAAATCAAGGCACAGAACTGACCATTGTGTCCAAAACCATGACCTTGATAAGAACAGTTTGAGTTAAGTAATTGAAGTTAAAGCTTGATTGGAATAATTTGAAGAGCATGGAAGGAGAGAAAGTGGACACAGGATGTATAGATGCTTACCAAAAGGCCAGCAGAGAAATAGGACAACGGTTAAAAGATTGTGAAATCTAAAAGATTGTCAAGTTAGGAGAAGTACAGTTGTCATGATACATATAGTGAAGAGGAAAAATTTATGATGCACAAGAGAGATGTTGAACTTGTGAGGCCATGTCTTTTACTAGGTCAGATGAAGTGCTGACTAGTTCATAGTGAATAGATTGGCCTTAGATAGAAACACAGATAATTCATCCATAGTAATAGGATGGAAGATAAATATATAAGCACAAAGGCATGCAGCTGAATAGGTTTGGCGAATTTCACTTGTGAGAAACATACTAATATATGAACAAATACAACTAATACATGCTTTTTGACCACTAGCGATAAATGAAAGCCACTGTAAAATTCCATTAAAATATGACAGCTTGAATTTTCAACACTGTAATCCAAATATAGGTCCATTTTTTTTTATTCTGGAGTATTTCCATACTGACAATGAACATATGCATATTTTGCAGAATCCATCTATAATAAGCATTTGTGTTTGGAAGGGAAGCAACTGAATCTAGAAATATACGACCCTTGTTCTCAAGTAAGTAAAACAACATACTCTTTTATTTTTTCAATCATTATTTGAAAAAGATTGGATAAGGGTCAGTGTAAAATTGCCAGTCTTCAAACTAAATTTTCTTTTTTTTATCTTAATTATTAAAAATTTAAGAGATTATTTTTAGTGTTATGAATTTCATTATCTAGCTTCTCTGTAAAGTAAGATTAAACTATCATATTATAAATATCTTTAAAATACAAATATTAGGCTGGATTTATAATATACTAGAGGACTGGTGCACAAATTCATGCACCAGTGGGGTCCCTTGGCCTGGCCTGCAGGATTAGGCCAAAACTGGCTCTCTAACATCCCCCGAGGGGTCCCGGATTGCGAGAGGATACAGACCAGGCCGAGGGACCCCACTGGTGCACGATTGGGGCCAGGGAGGGAGGCAGGAGGTTGACCAGCCAGGGAGGGACCGTGAGAGGGTTCCAGGGCATGTCTGGCCCATCTCTCTCAGTCCCAATCGGCCGGACCCCAGCAGCAAGCTAACCTACCAGTCCACTGTCTGCCCCCTGGTGGTCAGTGCACAACATAGCGAGCAGCTGAGTGGCCTTAGCATATCATTAGCATATTATGCTTTGATTGGTTGAATGGACAACCAGACGACTGGACACTTAGCATATTAGACTTTTATTATGTAGTATTTTTATCAGGTCACAATGTAGCTGTTAGAAGTTAACAGTTTAATGGCTTATCATTGAAGTTTATATGTTCACTGTTTCCTTTATGACTAACCACTGTTGATCGAACATAAAATAGATTTTGAATATAAACTTCTTTGTTTAATCAAATACAAAAAAAGTGAAAATAGTATTATATAAATAACAGCAATTCAAGATTTCAAAACAACTCCATGGGACAGATTATTTTACTTGATGAAAATCTACCTTAAATGTTTTGAGCTAAACTTTATCTTTTTTTCCTGATTTAAACATAGCACCCAAATCAATAAGTACTCTATTTATTAATATAGATAGAAAATATTATATCTTTTCAAAATTACATGTGGATATTTATTTAAAAGACAACTACAGCTTATCAATTTTTCAAAGAAAGTTGGAGATATTTTCTTAGAGAAAAGTTGTAAAATGAGGTAGATATGACTTTATGATAGATTATATTTTACGGACTTTTAATCAAAAAGAATGATGAGGAAATAAACTACATTTTAGAAAATACCAGTGTTTGGCTTATTGAATTCTCTTCTAAATGAAATGTGTCTTCATTAATTAATTCTAAAGTGTAAATACAGGTGTCAGATTCCACCACTTTCAATGTGCTTGGTTTGTTTGCAGCCACAGAAAGCAAAATTTTCCCTCACAAGTGAGCTGCACTGGGCAGATGGATTTGTTATTGTATATGACATCAGTGACAGGTCTTCATTTGCTTTTGCAAAAGCACTGATCTACAGAATTCGGGAGCCACAAACTAGTCATTGTAAAAGGTAAGACATTTCTCATTCCTCTCCTTTCTTTTTAGTAAATCATCATAGAGCTGTAAGCATCATTAGGAAGAGTTTAATACAGCCTTCCAATTACAAAATTTAACAGCCCTGAACAATTCACCTTCCATTCCACAGGAGTTATACATGTAGTAAAAGGACTAAGATGAGAATACTTTATATCCTGGCTGACATAAACAGTTACTTGCCCTGAATAAATGGCTATTTTACAAGACAGCTTCTATTGTTAACATGACACTCGCTTGCAAAATAATGGTCCTTTGTACACAAGATAGTTCGCTTTCCTACCTTTTCTTTTTATTCCCACAAAAATGTTAAGGATACTAAATAAATCCAGATTTATTACATTTGTCATCCAATTTCTAGTCATTTGGTTGTTCAATCTATCAAAGCAAAATAGACAGCATAATGGAACCTATACAAATTCTAAGTATGAGAATATATTTTTCTTCATTTCACCTACTAAAATAAATAGCTAATCAACAATTGCCGATTAATTGTCTTGACAAAAGTAACTGTGAAGAAAGACATAACTGTGCTTTATTGCATTAGTAGGTATAAGTTTAAACATATAAATTACCTACTTTAATTTTTTTGTTTTATAGCCTTTCCCATTTAAAAATGTTTATTTTTATTCAAAATGCTGATGTAAGGGTTTCTGTGTGCTCTTAAGCAAATTTGCCCTTAATCTAAAATGACATTCTAAACTGAGAAGCAAAAAAAGCACAATACTAGTGATTTTTATATCTATTTTAAATGCCCACTATCAAGAAACCATCAGATAATAATTGATAATGGATATTTCCCTGGGGTCAATTGGCGGAAATTCTTGCTATATCTGATTGACCTTAGGTAAATCCTTTAATCTCTAAGGCCTAATTTTTCTGATTATAAAACTGATGGAAGCATGTTAGGAGAAAAGTATGTGATGTTACTAGGGCACCCCACAGCTCTGATTTCCAATAATATTACTGTGTGGTTTCTTTAAACATCATTGTTTCAAGCATTAAATGTTTTATATGTAAGCATCATTACTTAAGTAAACGACAGAGATAATAATCCTTTGATATTCCTCCAAATCGAAGTAAGCACTCAAGAATAATAATAAAAAAAATACAAAAAACAACTGTCTTTAACATTTCCAGACAATCTTTTTAATGTCCTGACTAAATAATTTGTAGAGTATTTTCAATCTGTATAGACTAGAAAATCAACTTAACATTGTTTTATTAAAATTACATCCCATATTTGTGACCCACCTTCAAAATATTTTACAATTCCCCATTAATTCTTTACAATAATTTTCTGAACTATGTAGAAAAAGTTATTATTAATAATACCCTCAAAAATCCAACGCATACAGTGCTTTTTCCCCTCATAGCTCACACTGTCATATGAATGAAACTAACTCTTAGTGGAATCTGAGGACAATATCTTTTCAGACAGAGTTGATTACTGCATTTATTCAATTCTTTACTATAGTAGATATCTTGGCAGAGTTTCTCACCACTTATGAACTAGTAATCTTACCATGTTCTTTAAACAAAACTCTGTTTTAAGAATGTTCTGTTGTAACAAATGAGGATACACTGATATTTGCCAAAGACATATACTTAACAAGGGAATATATATCTTAAATAAACAGAAAAATTGTACAAGGTCATGAGATTGTGAAATTTTTTCTTTATTATGTTATAATGGATATTAACAAAGAATAAACAGCAATGAGTATTGAATAGTATTATATCTTATTATATATCTAAATTGTCCAATCACAGTAGCTCTTTAATAAAGAGTTAGTCCTCTTTCAATTGATAAGAAAAAGAAAAATGATATTTATTAAGCATCTTTTATTGCTTGGCACTGTGCTAGTTATTTTTATATACATTATTTCATTTAATTTCAATGAGAATTCTGTGTGATCATGACTATTTTACTATTTTTCACATATAAGGAAAATGAAAATTGGAAAAATAGGAATTATGCCTCATTAGTAAACAGAACCATAATTCAAGAATAACTTTGTGTCACTTCAAATCATATGCTTTAAGAGCCTTACTGCTTCTGTGTCATTTACTACATTCTATCTGAAATAATTGTTGTGCATACATGGGGATACATGTCAAATGCACATGACCATAAATAACACATACTATTTTTTGTCTGTTTTGGTCCATAATTCTTGTTTACATAAACCTACTTAATCCTGTATAATAAAAGAGTAATATGCAAATAGACCGAACGGTGGAATGACCAGTCACTATGATGCTCACTGACCACCAGGGTGCAGATGCTCAATGCAGGAGCTGCCCCCTGGTGGTCAGTGCGCTTCCACAAGGAGAGAGCCGCTCAGCCAGAAGTCGGCTCAAGACTGGCCAGAGCAGTGGTGGTGGCGGGAGCCTCTCCCACCTCCACAGCAGCACTAAGGATGTCTGACTGAAGGTTTAGCCCCGCTCCCCAGGGGAGCAGGCCTAAGCCGGCAGGTGGACATCCCCGAGGGCTCCCAGGCTGCCAGATGGCGCAGGCCGGGCTGAAGAACACCCCATCTGAGTGCACGAATTTTTGTGCACTGGGCCTCTAATTAAAAAATAATTTTTAAAACCACTCTTGCCAAAAAATCGTGTATCTGTATTTCAGAGTTGTGGAATCAGCAGTGCTTTTGGTTGGTAACAAGCAAGATCTCTGTCATGTGCGAGAGGTTGGCTGGAAAGAAGGGCAAAAACTGGCATTGGATAACCGGTGCCAATTCTGTGAACTGTCTGCAGCAGAGCAGTCTTTGGAGGTAGAAATGATGTTTATCAGAATTATCAAGGACGTCCTGACAAACTTCAAACTCAAAGAAAAGAGAAGATCCAGTGGATCTAGATCAATGGCCAAATTGATCAATAACGTATTTGGAAAGAGAAGGAAATCTGTTTAGTAGACATGTGATCTTGAGGGTTTATTATATCAGAGAATTTCATTCATATGCTAGTTGAATTTAACCTTTGTTTGCAATTTAAAAAATATTTTAGAGATATGAAGTGATTGAATATGAACCACAGCTCTGTTTTTCAATATATAGTTTGCCTTTTTGGTTGTTTGTATTTTGTACACTCTGCTTCACACTTAAACTTCTCTTTATTACACAAAATCGCCTTCAGTATAAACTATTGGTGGATTACTATACAGTTTGCCTTGCAAATGAACATTGCTCTGTAATTTTATTAAACTGCCATTCTACAGTCCTGTTTGCCTTTATTTTATGTATTTCTTTAGAATAAACATATGGTTATATTCATGTATTTCATATTTTGTAGGACTTAATTTATATACCTGTGAAACTTCATGATCTATTTAATAGAAATACATGAATTTAATTTTAAAAATGTCTTCATGATAATCCATTGAGTTACTTGAAAATGCACACATATTACTTATAACTTAGGCTTTAAGAAGTTAAATGTTTTGCCCATAAGTACCTAGTTTGTAGTTGGTCTGATGTTGAAAAATCTCTGCTTTGCTTTGTATGCTATGCTAACAAGGGCAATTATAACAGAGAAATTGGCTTACATAGCTAAGATCCTTTTGGGATCAAAAGATTAGTCTTTTATAGTTCATTTAGGAATCATACATGATAAGGAGAGAAAAAAAATAAGAACTGATTGGTAAATATATAACCTTTAAGGACTTATTGCCTTGAAAGAAATATTGCATTAGATACAAACATTTTAGGCCTTCCCAGATTACTTTGAATTTCCTTCTGAAGTCAACCAACTACCTCATGGACTTTATTGCCATTGCTCCTACCTTCGCTAAACTTGCCACCTACTACGAATTTCAGCCAAATCGCTGAAAATTAAGGTTAAGTATTAGAGAAGTTAAAGTGGGAGTACAAACAATCTACTACATACTTGGTTACCATGTAGCATCAGTATCCTGGGGAAAGGGTGGAAGATCTTGAGTAGAGGGTGATACTATAGGAGTTGGGGTAGGGTGACTCAGAATATTAGGCTGGGTAGGAAGGAATTCATTGACTTGGTGTTACTCACTATGAGTCATGATTCAAATCTTTAGGATCAACACCTAGGGCTCATTCCTATAGCTTTGCTGTTCATTAGAAGTCTAGCCTTGATGATATGCTAGAATAAAAGTGGTGCATAGAACTTTGTGTGGTGGTATACAAAGCCATTCATAATGCTCATGAAGATGGAGGAGTTAGACTTGATATGGTAAGTTTGACTAAGCACCCATCATTTGACTGGATTCTCTGGGACAATTCAAGGGAACTTTGAAGTGAGGAATGCACTGGTGAGGGGCACAGGCAACCCTGAGAAGCTTAACAATGACTGTGCCCTCCAGGTTAGAGTTGACAATAGGAAGGCTGCCACTGAACTGCAGTCCTCAATGCTGATGATAGAATCCTGGAACAGCAGGGTCTGAGGACAGCAGTGAACCCTTCCTGTTATGCATTCACTGTCATAGCCAGGGTTGAGGCTCCATTTTGATACTATTGGCTGGTTGGAGACTTAGAAGTGGCATGCTCCATGAGCTGTACTGAGGCAAAGTCCATATTGTGGACTCACGCATTGCTTCCAGCCCTGCCACCAAGGCTGTGTTATCATGGGTCCATTACATAAGCACAGCAGTGGTCAAGAAAACAGACAGGTTATCTGCAGGGCAGGTCGTCCTGTCCATCCGGTTGTAATGTGACTACTCATAGGTGGATGCTGTCTGGTGGGCATTAACATGATACACAAAGATCTATATACTTTACGCCCTCTCTGAGAGATTCATTCACATGCTTTTTCTCATGTTATTCTTGTAGCGATTCTTCCAGTCTTTCCTCTTCATTGTACAAAATAACACTCAGATATATATCTCTAACCAATTGGCAAAACTACGATCCCTACCTAGAAATCTGTACCACATGACACCTTTCCCACTATACAAGGTAGACAACAAAGTGTACTTCCTGAAACTCTGACAAATGGGATAATTTACTTTCACTGATGAACTTCATGGTTACCTTCATGTGGGATGCAATGAGCACAGCTCTCTTTTGGCACTAGTACATCAAGCTTAAGTGAGAAAAGCTTCTTATTAACTAGGGATGTTTAGATTAGATTGCTATGTAAATGAGAAATAAACCTCTAGTGTAAAGAATTATTCTGGTAAAGTCAGTGATATACTTTTTTGGTCAACTATAGGAATTTTATTAATATTGTATAATCTTTGTATGGACTACATATGTATTTACATATATACATGTATCCCAGTTTAAGCAATTACACTTTAAATTAAGTTTTGTTTTACTTTATTCTTAGTTTTCTCCTGGATAATCTTAGTTTTAGAGATTTGGTTAAAATTATTTTTCCAGTTACAGAATGATTCTTTGGGGATATTATTGCTTTAAAAATGAAATATTTATCCATATTATATGGAAGGACTCTACTCTCAATATGGTATGGAAATTCTTTCATAGATTAGTTGTGTATATGTGTATCTGTGATGTGTCAGAGTGCAAAATTTCTCTCTTAAAGATATTACAAAACTTTATTATACCATGATTTTTTATCAGTATGGCTCACTTACATTATTATAAGTATTTTATGAAACATACTAATAATAACTAGTGCTAAAGAGAGAGAGAGATGTGTTAATTAACTTGATTGTGGTAATCATTTCACAATGTATACATATATCAAAACATTCTGTTGTACACTTTAAATATATTATAATTTTACTTGTCAATTGTAACTCATTAAAGCTGGAAAATCACCATTGTTTTACAGTAAAAACAGAATTTACATTTTAGGAGGTAGTTTCTATGAGGCAACTTTAGAAATGAACTGCTGATTTTTCTGAATGAAATTTAAAAGTAGTTGGATAATTTCTGCTTTTGGACAGTTTCAAAACCGGTTCAGACATTTTTTTGACACTTCTCCCTTTAAAGATTGAGTCCAGTTCTCCTTCCTTGCTAATGGATTATCCTTATTGACTCTATTTTAGAAAATTGAATGATGTAGAAATAACAGGTAGGGCTTATGAGACCCCATTGATAAAGGAGCTAGAGTTCCAATCCATTCCTCCATCCGTCTTCGATTTGGGACCTATGAGTCAACATATATGAGTCTTGCTTCCCTGAAGGCACCAGGCTGGAGCTACTGTAAGGGGTTAGTGATCACACAACCACCAAACATATTAGCAAATATTCAGATAACTCCAGTCTCTAACCTTGCACTCCCACAGCAGATGCCAGATGGAATAGGAGTGACTTATCCCCACACAATTTTGCCCCATATGCAGACTTGGGAGTGTATTAAGTATCATTGTTGTTATGGGGTTGTTAAACCATCATGTTTTGGTGGTGTTACATGGCAACTAGAACAGACGATTCATTAAAACTTTCAGTAACTCAGCCGACATGAAATACTTGCCTTTCTTCTGGGGAAAAAACAGGGTTAAAAAAGGATTCTTCTGAACAGATTTCAAAATCATCTACAACATGAAGTTGTCCCAATACCAGTTTTCTTGTAAATATAATTTACATGTATGGCAACTTGCAAACCTAAAAATAATAAAGTGCAGTTTTCCAAAAACTGTAGTAACCACATCTACTCACTGAGAAACAAATACATCAACATTAGGCCACGGAATGTTGCAGGTTGAGGATCGCAAGTGTCTCTATAAATCTCCGAGATAGTTAAGCTGTATCACTAGGCCGGGAATTGCCTGTGCTGTTTCTAGTAAAAAAGGTGCTGTCATTCATTTTGGATGAGCTTCAGTGAGATAACACATAACGAGGGGCAACAGCTGAGGAAGGGAATGCCAAAAGGGAGGGGCTTCTGAAATGGTTTTGATTTAATACAAGGCATGCGCTATTAATAAAGAGGTTGAATGATACCTGTATGTTTTATAGGTTTATAAATTGGCTGTAGTAAAATATTTTACATCTTAGATCACTAGGTATTGTTTCGGCTTATTATGGGAGATATCTATCTAGAGTTGACTGAATTGTATTAATCTGAACCTAGTTTAATGATGCCTTAACATTTTTATGGGGGAATTTAATGTTTGCAATATCCATGTTCCTTATTTGAAAGCGTGACTTATAGGTTTCTCATCTTCCTTAAATTATGAAATCCTTCGGCTAATAAAGGAAAATGATTATAGTTTGCAAAAAAGGCAAAGTCATTTAACAATCCATATAACTGTCTATTGTAGGACTTTGCATAATAATTGTAATTTAGCTATTAGGGATTCTAAAGGCAGTTATCAGTCATACTCTACAATTCTGGGGGAATCAGGCAAAGCCCAAATTATTGAAAGCATTTTAAATTCTCAAAGAAAAAAACAGAAATATTATAAATTGAAAATATACTCTTCAGTGACAACATATTATTTTCAAAGCAAAGAAGTTCATTATAATTTTCAAATGTATAAACCACCAAACAGATTATTTTTCTTTCCTTTGGTTCGAGATATAATTTAAGTTTATTTCTAATAATGGAAATATAAGTTCTAAGGAGGGAATTAGCAGACTATGAAGTATCAGTGGCAATGTGGGATCTGCAGATTTTAGTAATCCTGGAACTACTAAGGCATAAGGAGTTAAGAAAAAAAGAGGAAAATGAAGAAGATTAAGAGATGGAATTACTTGCCATAATATGAAAGTATGACCATGTTATCTCTGTATCTTTAGTTCATTTTAAAGGACTAAAGATAAATATTTAACAGCTAAACACATGAAAACATTTCAAAACACACATTAAATTAGATTGATATTGTTACCAGATGTAAAGTTACTTTCTGGTAATAAATTATTTTGGTTTTCGAAGTTTGGTAGTATTTCTATATACAAACACATCTGGAATTAAAATTCTGGGATTGAGCTGGAGGTAAAATGTTTAATTTATTCAAACAACAATTATAAAAAGTAACCTGTGCATTGACTTTTATCAGAATATTTTTATCCTATAGCAAAAGAACTCTCCATATTACTCAATTTGTTATTCTCCACAACAGAAGAGGTTTTGAGCAAAATTTGTTCAAAACTAGTTTCATCATTCTAAATTACTATTTTTAATAACATCTTTTTGAAGCTAAACATATTTGCTTGTAGATTAAGACTTACACACATACAGTGGGGCCTTGACTTGCGAGTGTCCCGACTAAAGAATTTTTTGAGATAACAGCTGTCTCTCAGCCGATTTTTTGCATTGAGTTGATAGAGTAATTTGAG